AAATCTAGCCGCAGGGGTGTAGCTACATAATAACACCGCATATACAAGTAAAATGATATACAAATTGATTAAATAACATATTTCGAACATTGATTACACGATAGAGTATTGTAGCCCAATGGATTTAGGTTCATTGAAAGGGCCAAGCTAAGGCTTAAAGCGCTTGTGTGTTTTGAATCTCACGAACGACAATTTTTCAACCTTTGTTCGTAGTATTTCTGGCTTCGCCACTGAATCTAGGAGTGTATTTAAATCTCATGACTATGAATATTTTTGACTCCGCCGCTGAGTCTAGGAGCTTGAATTAACTTTAGTACACCAAAAGTAGTTAGTAAAAAAACAAAAAAATTAGCATTTGTATACTAAATTGTACTTTTTCAATCTGTCGATTTCTGCTAAGAAAAAAAATACTAATTAACGTCAAGCAACATAGAGTATCACTTTGAGATTCTCAAACTATACAACAAAGTTCCCACTTCTGTTCCTAAAAAAAATGATGACCAATTTTTTTTTGTCACTTTTTCTTGATATCTCCTATATAAACTATGTCAAAACCAAAGATTAAACCCCCACAAAAAGATTAAATTAAAAAAAATAAACAAAAAATGTGGTGTTCCCTTTTTTCTCCAACATCACATTTTACTATAATTAAGTGTTCAATCCCAAGTGATAATCAAGAATTCAAGAATCCAATTAATGGAAATGTTGTGAAAATGGATTTGTCAAAATCCAATAATAATGTTGCAACAAAAACTTCATTTTCTCCTTGTGATGAAACTTTGTACAATATTCCAATGTCACAAATTAGGCAAAATATACCAACAAAGAAACAACTTGTGGATACTTATAGACAGGGAATTATTGTTGAAGGTGCATATAGACAAACAGTTGTTATAAGGTCTTATGAAGTTGGTCCTGATAAAGTTGCTACTATTGAAAGTTTACTTAATTTACTTCAGGTGAGATCATATTTTCTTTTGTCATTTTATTGAGTTATGATTAGTTTGTTGTTCACCTCGAATCGCGAGGATAAAACATGAATAGTGAGGTGAGGATTCGTATAGCTGACTCTGACTTGTTTTTGATTGAGGCATAGTAGTCTGACGTCGTTGTTGTATTAATGAAATGACATGAATAATGAAGATTCATATAGCTGACTCTGACTTGTTTTTGATTGAGGCATAGTAGTCTGACGTCGTTGTTGTATTAATGAAATGACATGAATAATGAGGATTCATATAGCTGACTCTGACTTGTTTGTGATTGAGGCATAGTAGTCTGACGTCGTTGTTGTATTAATGAAATGACATGAATAATGAGGATTCATATAGCCGACTCTGACTTGTTTGTGATTGAGGCGTAGTAGTCTGACGCTGTTGTTGTAGTATTAAATGACATGAATAATGAGGATTCATATAGCTGACTCTGACTTGTTTGTGATTGAGGCGTAGTAGTCTGACGCTGTTGTTGTAGTATTAAATGGCATGACATGTATAATGACGATTCATATAGTTGACTCACACTTTTTGTGATTGAGGCGGAGTAGTTTGACGTTGTTGTTGTACTATTAAATGGAATGACATGTATAGTGAGGATTCATATAGTTGATTCCGACTTGTTTGTGATTTTAGCATAGTAGTTTGATGTTGTAGTTGTAGTATTAAAAGGAATGACAAGTATAGTGAGGGTTCATATACCTGACTCCGACTTGTTTGTGATTGTGGCATAGGAGTCTGACGTTGTTCTACTATTAAATGGAATGAGATATACTGTGAGGATTCATATAGCTGACTCGGACTTGTTTGTGATTGTGGCAAAGTAGTTTGACGTTGTTGTTGTATTAAATGGAATGACATGTTCAGTGAGGGTTCGTATAGCTGACTCACACTTGTTTGTGATTTAGGCATAGTTATTTGACGTTGTTGCTAAATGGAAACAATAAGGATTCATATGGTTAGTTTCGACTTGTTTGAGATTAAGGCATAGTTGTTTGACATTGTTGCAGTACTAAATGGAATGACATGTACAATAAGGATTCATATGGTTGATTTCGACTTGTTTGAAATTGAAGCATCGTACATGTTGCTACTTAGCACTTACATCTCTTCCTATCTTCACTTCCAACTAACTACACTAAGAGCTTTTTCTGGTTTACGTATCTGGAGTTCGGAGCATACCAGTCCGACTAATTTGGATTTGTGTTGTATTTTTTGCAGGAAACAGCATTGAATCATGTGTGGATGTCAGGACTACTTAGTGATGGATTTGGTGCTACACATGGAATGATGAAAAATAACCTCATATGGGTTGTTTCAAGAATGCAAGTTCAAATAGACCATTATCCAATATGGTAAGTGATATTTGATCCTTTTAGCGAAGTTGGAGTTAACGAACTAACGTTTATGATACTGAAGATTCATACAGACGACCTCAACTAACTTAAGATCGAGGTGTAGTAATATTAGTAGTAGTAATAGTAGTAGTTGGAGTTTACTTGTGCCACTCTTGTTACAAACTGTTAAGAGTAGGTAATCTGTACCCCGTCTTTGTTTCTATTGCATTCTATCTCATGGCATCACGTTCTGTTCTGCGAGATCAGTAAACTCGGATAAGCTTTTGTTCTATAGCCCTTAGATACATGGACAGATGCTTTCTCCATATTGTAACGTCTCTATCAACTGAATTCTCTTTTTAACGCCTCACCTGATACATGTTAACTTACAATTGATGCCTGATTCTCCCGATGCATCGCTCTCTTGGTTTTTGGTACTAGGACTAACAAAAAGACTCAAAAAAACTTGAACAGGGGTGAAGTAATAGAGATTGATACATGGGTTGGAGCTTCGGGGAAAAATGGGATGAGACGCGACTGGCAAATTAGAAGTCAAGCCACAGGCCTTGTATTTGCCAGAGCAACCAGGTTCAGTTACACTTACAGATAATTTTCAAGAATCTGTTTTTTTTTTTTGTCCAAGTAAAACCGAGAGACGATTTTCTCAAATCAACTAATGATAATTATCTCAGAAAGTCGTTTTTATTGATACTTATTGTTAGTTGAGTGACCACCTGAGAAATCTACTCGTAAAACCAACATAATGTTGTAAGTTGTAACTGAGTTTTTGTGTGGACAGTACATGGGTGATGATGAACCAGCAAACGAGGCGTCTGTCAAAGATGCCGGAAGAAGTGAGGGCTGAAATCTCACCATGGTTCATCAGTAAGCAAGCCATCAAAGAGGAAAATCCTACTAAGATACAGAAGTTGGATGACACCGCTAAATATGTCCTTTCAAATTTGAAGGTGATCTTCAGCAATTTCATCGATATGTCAAGACTCGTAGATACTGATCTTTTTTCAACTTTTTGCAGCCAAAGAGAAGTGATCTGGACATGAATCATCATGTAAATAATGTGAAATACGTTCGTTGGATGCTAGAGGTAAAACGAACATCTAATAACATTGATTCTTGATCTCGACATCAACTTATGATGAAAAACATCAGTTTTTTTGTTCTGTTTCATGTTGTTGCAGACCATTCCTGACCAGTTTTTGGAGAGTTATCAACTGTCTAGCATCGTGCTCGAATACAGGAGAGAATGTGGAAGCACAGATATCGTTCAATCCCTTTGTGAACCTGATGAAGAGGTACTTTTCGACGATGTTGATCACCAACATAAGAGAAGAATTAGTGTACTTCATGGATTTTCATTGGCATCAGGGCTTCTTGAAGCAAATGGACTTCTTGAGTCATTTAGTCAAAGGCCATTTAGCTATACACATTTGCTTAAGATAAAAGAACAGATCAAGAATGAAGAAATTGTTAGAGGAAGGACTACTTGGAAGAGAAAGATATCTTCCATGCCATTTCCTACCTAACATACAAGCGATGTTGTTCAGACTCTTCAAAAATGTCACTTAGACGTGTGTCGGATTCTCCAAAACCTGTGTTTCCATAGGATCTAACATGGGTACAGTCGCATTTTTGAAGGGTCTGAACAACAACGTAATTTGCTAACGAACCATAAATACGGTTCGCCGATCCCGAAGGAGAAAAAAGGTTCTTGAAACTAAGAAAAGGACTTTGATTGATGGGGGCAAAACAATAATATAAAAGTGAAGATACAAATAAATATGTTTAATGTTGAAGTACAAAAGTCATAGTTGAAGCAGCATTGCAGCATAAACTGAAGATTCAAATACAATGGATTTGCAAAAGCAGCATTTTTTAGGAAAGAAGCATATTCACATATCAAAAAGAAAAAAAAAAAACTTTTGTATAGTGTATAGGTCTTCCTAGAAATATGTATGATTTTGTAGAAAAATGTTGTCAAATATGTTTTTTTTTTCTTCTTTTCTGAGGTACATTTTTGTGTTTTCTTATTTTGCATTTATAATGTTGATTGGGCTAGTTGTCCCGATACTCGTCGTTCTATCATTGGATCCTAATTTTCTTAGGCCCAAATCTTGTTTCTTGATCTTTCAAGAAGCAACTTATTTGTTTCTCGCTCCACTACTGAGGCTGAATATCGTGTCATGTCGTTGAACTTAAAGTACTGCGGATACAACAATTGTTATCGACTTATCCGTTGTTTTCACTGATCTGATTCTCTTATTTTATCTATGATCTACAAAAGCTTGCTTAAAACTAGTTCATTCACATGTGTCCAAGTGGCGATTGAAGGGTATCTTAGTGTGTGTGAATATTCTTTATAATTCACCATATTAGCCTAGGCTAATGTTATATGTCATCTTATTAAAGTATAGATATTCTTGTCTTTTACACATAATACACACATTTAAAATATGTAATTCTCACTTAGACATTAACAATCAATTAAAATAACCTGTCATTTTTTGTGGTTGAAATGTAATTGTCACAATTATACCAAAATGCTGTATATTGGCCTATATATCCTTCTGAAATTTTCAAGAAATATATCTTATTGAAATAGACTATATAATTATAGTATAACTAGGTTTATTCCCATTTAGACCAAAGGTCTCGAATTATGGTGGGATGGATTCAATTCATTCATCCTTAATCAAAAGTCTCGGATTATGATAGAATGAATACGACTCATTCATCCTTCATCAGAAGTTTCACATATGATACATACGAGCGCTCCTAGTAAAGAGCACTTCCTCTTTATTTGAGGCAACAATATTGCAGCTCAACAAACAAGAACTTTTTAGCCTATTGAAAAAGAATTGAGGTTCACTACATGTTTAAAATGTACTAAGATTTAACCTAAAAAAAAATGCAAACCATATACAGTTGCGAGGTAATGGGTATTTACAACATGGTTGAACTCTACCCAAATGAAAGCAAAGGAATAAAGAATGGCTGGGGAACTGCAAACGTAAACTCAATCGTGCTTTCTCCTCATCATTCTATGTAAATGCCACGACCATGCAGCCAACGACATCAAAAGGCCAGTACCGATACATGACCATAAAATTACCACCCATTTGGGCATTGGGTTTGGAAATGATCCTGAAAGACGAAGCAAAGAAGAACATAAAGCGGAGAATACATAAGCCACTGGGGATCTGGTCTTGCCACAAGGGACATGTTAATTGTCCACCGAGTTTTGAACAATGCTAATAGCTTGTCCTCAGGATTTCTCGGTTACAAAATAAAATAAACTTTGCTGAAATACTCGTAAAAAGAGAAAACAAGATGTAGTGCTCACCATGTCCAAACTTGATACAGATTAGGAGCTCAACAATGCAGATCGCCACTGAAAGCCAGCAAAATGCTCCTACCTTCTTCGCTGGTTTTCTGAATATGACGGTAGTAAACGGAAAAGTAAAGTGAGAGATAAAGAAAAGGAACAAGAGCTTATGGGAGTAGTACACATTTCACTTCATAATGCGAGTGGTTGGGCATACCTGTCCTGTAGATACGAGTTATATTCACGGATTGTTGGTAACGCAATTAACCACCAGAAAACCAATCTATACACTATCAAAGGATTTCTTGGAGGAATCCAAAGACAGAACTTCAAAAAGAATGTATTTAACTCCACAGTCAAGAATATGACACAAAGACTGAGGACTTGAATAAACCGCCATGGACCTAGAAGAGGACGCCATTCATCTTTATCCCAATGAGCTGGCGTAAATTGTCCAAGAGTTCGCTTGACCTATTAAAAAAAGAATAAGCTGTGTGTTTAATAATAAAACTATCTCTCGCTGGGAACCCCGTTTGTAGTACTTTAGTACAGAATAAACGTCCTAATATTTCCACTTTAACTGTATGGGACTTGTATAACGCAACTTAGTATATCTGATATTCCTCGAAACCATATACGACCAATGTAGCAATTAACGGGATATACCTTGCCCATGATATTTGGTTGCCTGCTAATGCCAACCCACTCGTATGTTTTCCCGTCAAAATACCGGACGGTGCGCATTCCAGCCCATATGCCTGCATAAGAAATCAAATAGGTAATTTTAGTGCAAAATAATCCAGGAGAACAAAGCATATCTGTAAGACCATGAACAGACTTGAGCCACAGGTAAGCAAAATATGCAGAAAATATGGATTTAATGTTAGAATAACTATTCGTTGTAATAAAAAAACAAAAACAATCACATCAACGAATGTCGAACCTCAAAAACTTCACCCATGAAGATCCATTATATCTAACAATCTCTATACAAAGGCTTAAATTCCACATCATCTGTAATAAGAATATTTTTGGTGAAATGGAGCTCGATGATCGCCATAAACCCATAGCCTAGTTATTCATGTCGTTATCAAAATTTTGCTCTGAATGATTTAGAGGGGATGGGGTGTCACAAACAGAACACAAAATCAAGTACTTCATTCTCGCGATTAACTCTCCTTTCAGTGGTAGTCTTTATTTACCTGGACAACCACTTTTTACTGTATGAAAGGCAATATTGTATCTCAATACAATGTAATTTCACAGCAAACTAAATCAAAACAAGCAAATTCGACGATACATTTGATAAACTTCACTCAATCTGGAACTGTTTTTCAGAACTCAAAAGAACAAGAACTTCAACAGGCAAGAGATGGAACATTAACCCCTTGATTAACTAGAAATGGATGCAAATTGTGAATATGATACAAATTTGTTGTAACCATGTCAAGAATGTAAAGTTCAGAAGAGCACAAGGTAGTCGGCTTCAAGATACTCACCGAACCAATTGCAGATCAATATGTCAAGAATAATGCTGTCCCACCAACACTCGTTGAAGTTTGGTAACATGTGGCGGAAGGTAAGCTGATAACATAAGTTCAATGAGGACGGAAAATACTGAACAACTCTCATTTGGAAAATGAAAATTTGCTGAATAAACATTCAAAAGAAGCCGAGTAAGGCTCTGACCTCCATAAACTCGAATCCAATGGACAAAACCCACAAAAGAGGTTGATTACGAATCATGATGGCCTTTCCCCACCACCCTATGATATGAGCCAAAACAAACTCATCAAACAGTGTGTCCTACAAAGCAAATACGCCATCAGAGAGGCTGCATTTTCCTGCAGCTTGTCCAAGAAAGCAATACAGGATTTTGAAAAAAACAAATACAAAAGGTAAAAGGATTGTGAAAGAAGATATCATACATAAAGATTCTTAAACCTGTTTGTGGGATTTTCAGGTACGTAGATTCTGCAATCAGCACCATAGGATCTTTCAGGTAGCTCTGCATAGTAAGTTAAAATAGGTATAAGTTGCAACTCACATGGCAAAGCCGATAAACAGCATAGATGTTATAAATAATTCACCCAAAACTGTTATGAAGAACATGCCAAAATCCTTACCAATACCAAGATCAGGATGTAGATATCTCATAAATTGCTGAGCATCATCCCGCTTCTAGGGAAGAGACGACAAAGTATTAATATCTCACAACAACTGAATTGGCTGAATTATAACTTGATTAGATATCAGAAGGGAAACTGAAGTATGAAACATAATTACTGAATCATTTATTCATTTATACAATTAGAAAACATGAATTCTGCTAACCAACTTACCTGAAAAAGCAAAAACGTCAAAGCAACAAGGTAAATGACAGCCATTCCATGAACTAGGCGCCAAATGGCAGGATGTGGCCTAATGAGCACGCTGTAATGAAGAATCTCACAGATTAATATGGTAAAAGACCATAGACCAAAAATTGCAAATACATCTGTACTAAGCAAATTTCAAATCAGGGGAGAAAAGAAGGCGAACTCTAAAGCTCACATTTGAAGTCTAAAAGAAAAAAAGACTTGAGCTGCGGGTCTACTACAAATAACCTCTCTACCTTCACAAGATAGGGGTCAGGCTGAATACACACCACCCTACCCATACCCCACTTGTGGAATTTACACGGGATATGTTGTTGTAGTTGTAGTTGACTAACCAAAGAGGAGTTGAAAAGATAATCATTCTAGCACGTTCACAGCCAAAAAGTAAAAATAGATAACACTAATAAATAATAAATAACCACCAACTCCTATTTTTAGCTATATTTTACTAGTCAAACCAAAAATATGCAAAATACAACTCAATAAGACCAGAGAGAGAAAGGAGTATAGTAGCAACTTACGTGGAGGGGGCTTGCAGCAAAGAGTAAGCAAGATACACAGCAATCATAGCCCAAACACCCCTAACAGAGGCAAAAACAACATTCACTGTCATGAACATTAAAAAGGAAAAGATATTTTTTTATAAGATAAGAATATAAGACAAAACCATGATACTCATCCTGTTTCATTTCAAGTGGTGGGGTTCAGGGAACAAGAGTCAACAAGTTAATTTTAGTGTAAAAAGGGACATTAAATTCAAGTTTTTTTGTAAAATAAAATTTACATACTTAGAAGATACTTAGAAGCTACACGACAGGTCTATAAGTCACAATAATTAATCATTCAAAATACTTTAATATAATTAAGAAACTTGTAGTAGAAGAATAACCTATTTAGACTCCCAAATAGCAACAATACCACATGAAATGGGATAGAGAGAGAAATAAAAAGTGCACACCTTTTCACAGATGCCACAATATCACCGGAAGAAGTGTTTTGTGAGTCGAGAGCTCCACTAGCCCAACTGCAACCATAATAAAATAAGCAAGTAAAAAAATGTATTGTCATTAGCAAGCAAAACTAAAAGAAAGGAACCAATAATTTGCAAGCAATCAGTAAGGCATCCTAATTGAAGATCACATGTGCTTTTGTATACCAAAACCAACTTTTGATTAATACAAAATTCAATTAAAAATGCAACGACTTGATGTGTCATACGTACAGCAAAAGGATTTCATTTCACAAAATAGCCAATTTTAATAAAACAATTTTACATATCCTCAAAAAGAAGAGCTTTTATATAATTATCACCAAAAGGAAAAAGAAAAAGAAAAAAAAAGCTACAACAATCTATGCATCTGACTGAAAATCTAATTCATTGATGACACAGAATATTGTACGAACATCTGAAAGAACAGAAGAAATCGCACAAGAACTAAAATTTCTTCTACAAATTCCCTCACAGTCCAAGACACTTATCCAAAAAAAAAAAATACCCCCGTACTCCAAGAAGAGAACAACTATTCCTGTCCATAGCAATTATTTTACCTCTGAATATAGAGCATGTACATTAAAAAACTTACATGAGTAAACATGCACCGATAAGCAACAACGTAATAGTGTGAGGTTTGTTCGCCCAGGAAGTCCATGGATCCAACTCATCATCAATATTCAATGTGCTAAGATCACCGTTTTGAAGGGAAACCGTATTCTTTTTGTTACCCTTTCTATGTCCATTAGGCTCCATAGCCCTAGCCTATAAGAATTCAAACTCTTCCGCCTTTTCGCTGCAGAAACAAGATAAATGTAACTTCAACTACCAATACATAGTGATTCTAGGCGTGTAAAATAATGAAAATATTTCAAAGAGGCCATTAAAAAATCATAGCAGGATGTTCCCTATTGGGCTCAAGCTACTATATGACATACAAATGACGATATATTTTTTCAAAGGTACCTTCAGAAATACAACAAACTTATAATAACTTAATCATTACTGCATATCCTAAAGAGTAAGTAGACTTCCTATGGAAACAGGAAATGTAGGAAAAGCAAACACAATCCTTTTTTTGAGAATAGTAAACTAAAAGGAAACATGATCTAAAGGAAAATTCAAAGTAAAGATAGGAATCCAAGAAATAAGTAAAGAAAGGGATCCAAATAATCTCATGTCTGCTCAACATTTTAATCTACAGACCCTCAGTAAAGAATATACTTGAAATCTGTCACCTCCCCCAAAAGAAAAGGGAAATTACCAACGGGTAGCTCTTACTCGTTCAAGGTTTTAGCTCGCTATTAAAACTAATCTTAAAAGATACATAAGCATACGGATTAAAGACTAACTTCGAATAAACTAATGCAATACATCATGCACACACAATATAGCCTCTTTAATTGGAGAATAATCATACCCGTGATGCCAATTAACCAAAAATCTGTCTGAATAACCACACAAATACAATCGAAATTGATCATTACTAATGCATGTGACTTACAAAAAAACAAGGAGATAACAGAAAGATGAACAAAAACAAAAACAAATCTTTTTTCCAATACCCGGAAACAAACTAGACTGTAACTACCAACGCGAAATGAAACAAATTTGAACAATTTAGTGTTGGTTGTTAGCACAATAAGAACATCAACTACTATCATACCAGTCATGCCAATTAACCAAAAACCAGCTAATTCTTTACAACTAAAATCCACATAATCACACAAATCCAATCGAAATTGATCATTTCCAACGCATGTAACTACCAAGAATATTGGTGGAGCCAAAAATTTTACTAAGAAAATTCAAAATTCAAAGAAGCCAACACACCAAAAAGCTACAAGGTGTTCACCAGAAACAAAATGGACCTTGGAGTCTAACTAGCAAAGCAAAAAGCAAACAAATTTGAAGAGAACAAAAACAACCCAAAATTCAAAAATATCCCAAATGTAACATACATAATGCATGCCAATCAACTATTCGCAAAGCTAAGATTTTCACTAAGAAATTCAAAATACGAAGAACTAAACCCAACAAGAAGCCAAATGAGATTCAATATTTACTAATAGTACATATACATTTTTAAAAAACAATTTTACCCATATACAAACAACGTACGAACATATCGTCCCTACCACTCCATTAAGTAAACGCTACAAGAAAAAAATCCCAGTTTTAAAGTTAAGAGTAATATACTCTCTCACCTAAAAATATATACATAAATACATACACAAAATCTATTTATAGAAAGAAGAACTGGAAAAAGTAAAGTCAGAGAGGGGAAAAAAACTTACGTAGAGAAGACAAAAGAACTAAAATTAAAAAGCTGACAATCACAGAGAGAGACCTAGTAGTAACAGAGAACAACGAATCCTGGCCGTTGGATAAAAAAAATGAATAAATCTTCGAAAATGGAGAAATGGGTAATGTAGATAATCAACTATTTAGCAAAAACAGAGCAAATTTATAGAGATTTCAATAAACACAGAAGCAAAAAAAGATCAAATTTTTCAAAAATGGAGAAATGGGTATTGTAGCTGTTTACTAAAACAGAGCAAATTCATGAAGATTTGAATGAACATAAAAGCATAAAAAGATCGAATTTTCAAAAATGGAGAAATGGGTATTGTAGATAATTAACAGTTTAACTAAAACAGAGCAAATTCATGGAGATTAGAATGAACACAAAAGAAAAGAAAAAAAAAGATCGAATTTTTGGAGGAAAAAACAATGAATTCAAAAATGGAGAAATGGGTATTGTAGATATTCAACTGTTTAACTAAAACAGAGCAAATTCATGGAGATTTCAACACAAAAGCAAAAAGAGAGTTTAAAAAGTAGACAAAAAAGATAGATTTTTTTGGAGAAAAAAGAAAATGAAAATTTGAACTTCTTTTTGCCTCTTTTGAGAGAAGAAAACGGTGGTAACTGAAAGTTCACACGGCGGCGAGTGAGTTTTAGAGAGAGAAAGAGGAAGAAGAAGAGGAGAAAGTAGAGAGAGAGAGTTCGGTTTTTCTTTTTTTCTTTTTTTTTTGGTCAAAGAGAGATTTGGTTTGAAGAGATTTTATAAAGATGAGTATTTATTGCTTATTCTTATCATTAAAAATTTAAGGTACGTTTTTTTTTTTTTTTGGAAAATTACAGGTCGGAGGAATATTTTTTTGATTTTTGATTCGTGTTCGATATTTATATAGAATTTTAATTGATTTAAATACACAAATTACACTATATAAATTTTATTTAAAGGTATTTTTATTTTTACCTTAGTTGATATTTTAAATTTTATATTTATGAAGTCTGATTAAATGTAAAAAAAACTGCATATTAAAAATAAAATACTTACTATTTTATTATAATAATAGTCTTTATAATGTCTCGATTATCAATAAATTTAAATTTTTAATATATGTTGAAATATATTTTAGCCTCAAATATATGATTTTAGCAGGGAAAACATGATATTTGAAAGAAAATAAAATATGCATTTAATTTGAAGAGAAAAAAAACAGTTACAATATTGTATTTGAACTACTTTGAAAATTCCATCATAATTAAATGAAGAGAAAAAAATATGAAAAACACCTTGAATTATTAGTTTCGTTCTCAGATTATTGATAGTTTTAAAAATACTTTTTAACCTGGCTTATTGAAATTAAATATAAATCCAATCTTGCAATATGAATGAAATACATACCAAAATTATTATCAAATTAAAAGTGCTTTCAATATTTCTCCCGTTTTATTAAGAGCTCAATTCTACTAAAAAAGTTTTAAACTACTTGTTATGTTATGTGACAGATTTTGGACATATCTAAATTTAGTTAGTAAATTAGATAAATATTCTTAATTATCGATAATTCGAAAATGAAATTACTAATTTATATCAAATTTAAGAATATTTTCAATACTCTTAAATATTCGAAATAATATAAACGTAATAGACAGAGTAAATTCATAGATTGATATTTGGCATGCTGAATTTATGAATATTCTCAATAAAAAGATCAAATATGCATATGTCAATTAATTAAATTAAGTATATTTTATTAGACACAATCAAAATTATAATTTACTACTAATAATTGAGGGATCAAACGTGTTATTGAAAACTTTTTTTTAATTGATATTTTATAAAATACCTTTTTTTTTAGGTATTATTCATTGTACTTCAGGTATATCATATATGCTTCACAGTTTGGTACTTGTACTGTGCTTAGGAAATGACAAAAATACCCTTTACATTGGGAAAATAAGTTTTGGTAACGTTTGTCTTCTGCTTTCTTAAATAAAATAATAATAATAAAATATATTTGGATATTTTTTTTATTTAATCAAATAAATGTTTTCTTAAGCATTTGTAGTACTATGATCTAAAAGAATTAATTAAATGCTTTAGGTTTTATCACCATTTCAACACTTATTTTTTAGTAAAATTAGTGAGTTGATTAGATGTGTTGAACAAATGAATCGTTATATATAAGTTATTATTATGCGATGAAAGATATTGAAATATTTTAATTATAATTTAATTTATATTGAAGCGATAAAATATTTACATAATTTTCATACATGAATTACACGAATGATTTTGAGAAAATTAAGAGTGATTTATATTAAATTAAATGTTATTTGAGTCTCTAATGGTAAGGATAGAGAAAAATCTTATACTATTAGTATCTCTATCATTTTGGAATATTCTTTTTTAATAAAAGATTATACTTTTTTTCATCACCGTGATATTATCCCAATTTGATTTTGGTTATAGAAGCATATATGATTATGATAAAAGGATAGTAAATACTTTTTTCAATTTCTTTTTACTTTCTTAAATATTTCTTAATTTAATTTTCTTTTTTACTTATTCATTAACAAAGTTTCTTTTTTTTTATCACACTCTTTGAGTTTAAAAATATTGAATTAATATTATTAAAAAAGTATTAAGTAAATATATAGAATCTTATCCATTAATATAGATAAAACGATAAAATTTCTATACCATACATTATTCCTAATAAATATATATACATTTCAAATACATACCTTTTTGTGTAAAAGAAAACATATCGTTTAAACAATTATCTACCCTCAATTATTTATAAAATATGTACTAAACCTACTTTTCATATGCTTTCTCTATTTACAACAATATAATCGATATAGTTTCACAAGTGAAATCGAAGATGGTGTTGGTTGTGTATAAACAATCTTACTCCTAATTAAATAAGGTATAGAGACTGTTTCGAGTAGGTCCTTAATTGTAATTCACAAGTGGAATTGAAGGATATTTGCATGTAAATAGTTTTACCTCTACTTTGAGAAGGCATGACAAACTGTTTCAGATAGAATGTTTAGTTGTAATCTCACGTGGAGTCAGAGAAGAATGATGTATTAACAATTATATTCCTAATTTAAAAAGGTAAAAAGACTGTTTCTGACACATGATCGTCTAAAGAAAATGTCTTCTCCACTTGATCTAATTTTTGTTATTACTTCCCTATTTCATTTTATTATAGTAAAAAAATTATTTCTTTTTTCTTATTGGGAAGAAAAGATATTTTTTTAAAAAAAAAATGAGTACTAAAATGGGGGAATTGGACCAATTAGTTGATTTATGAATAGGGGAAATTTGGTAATTGTGGCTTAAAATAGGGGGGACAAAAACAAATATAGGAGAAGTCATAGTGCTAGTAGGCTTATAACCTTTTAATTGCAATGGGGCCCAAAACTTCATTTATTGAACTATTAAAGCCCTTTAACATCTGTAAAAGTACAGAACAACCCAAATAGAAAGAGACAATTTATTATTCGTCAACTCTTTGCACAAGTCCTTTTCACCTTTATTTATCTTTTCATGTATCACCATTCACCGTTAACGTTAAATCGAGATGAATAAGATTTTTCTTAGAGAGTACTTAATTTTTAAATATAAAATTTTTAGGCGTAAATTTAAATTTAATTAAATTTTAATGTGGTTATCGAACAATGAAAAAAGAAAAAATATATCTTTATTATTTATTAGACATTTTAATTTGAGCTCTTAGAATGATAAAATTATGCTTTAAAACGTCGTTTTTAATTGACTTTACACAATATGGATCGTATTAAACAAGGCGTAATATGAGCATGGGATGTTGAATGAAAAATTAATGACGTAAAAATTGAAGTTCATGTGTGTATCAAATATCGGATTATAAACTTAAAAATGAAACTAATATATTAGATTTAAAACATCAATCAAAATTTTACGGATTTTTATTTTGAATAACATACATATATATTGTTAAACTAGTAGATAAAAATAAGTATATATTACATTTTTTAACTTAGATTACTTTTTCTCCCAAAAAAAAAAAAGAAAAAAAAAAGAAAGATGATGATGATAATAGCAATCTAAAAGAAAAAAATTGACTTTTCAAATAGTGAAAATACAAATATATTAGAAATTAGAATATCAACGAATTTCATCGTTGATCTGTTACTATTTTGCTTATAGCTGATAAAAATCTATTGCTAATTTATTGCTAAGTAGAATAAATTTTGTTATTTAATTATAAAATTTATTCGACTATAAATTCAGTTTTTCAATAATTATATTTGATTCTTATTATCTATTGGAAGCTTTAAATATTCCTAAAGAAAACATTGTAACAACTTTAATCATAATAACATTCACTACACAATCTCATTTATATTTTCTAGTTGATGTCTTACTAAATTAACACACAATTAATTGAAACATTAAAGAAATTTTGAAGACAAAAGGCAATTATAATATTCTTGCATTTATAAATATCCAATACTTAAAAATAAATTTATTTTTCGAAACAATTACATAATTTGAACTAAAAAGAATATAGTATTTTATTGAATGCGTATCAATGTCCATATTCTTGAATTTTACATAACATGGGTGCAACCCCACCCCCACCACACCCAACCCCACCCCATCCTGGTTTCTCTTGGGAAGGGGTAGAAGTGAAGACAAAATAATAAATATTTAAAAATTTTCCAAAATTGTAAAAAATAATGGGGAAAAAATCCTAGGGAACAGTATCCATATGGTGGAATTGTTTTCAATTTTTATTTGATGAAATGGGGAACACATTAAATTATAACAAAAATATTTAAATTCATGCAATGATGTCAGGATCCAAATCGGGTCGCGACTGGCACCCACACTTACCCTCCTATGTGAGCGAACCAACCAATCTAAACCTTAACATTTCAATATAATATCAACAGAAAGTAATGCGGAAGACTTAAACTCATTAATAAAAACCAATTCAATAACTTCTAAAAACTCAACAACTATTATTATCCCCAAAATCTGGAAGTCATCATCACAAGAACATCTACTTCAATTTACTAAAGCTAAGAGTATCTAGAAGCTAAAATACATAAAAAGCTAGTCCATGCCGGAACTTCAAGGCATCAAGACATGAAGAGGAAGATCCAGTCCAAACTAGAAGCGTTAGCTCACCCTGAAATCCAGTGTAATGAAGACTGGCTAGAGTTGCGGTTGAGTTGAAGATGACGGCACGTTTGCTGCACTCCACAAATAATCAAAAAGAAAACATACAAGTAGGGGTCAGTACAAAACACAGGTACTGAGTAGATATCATCGGCCAACTCAAAATAGAAGACAATATATATCAGATAATATCATAAAATCAACTACAATACTCAACATGCGGCATTTACAATTACCATAACCCTTGGTCATAACACCAAGCTCATCAATGAGGACTCACGCCTCCCCATCATACTCATTTGGGAATTAGGTTCATTAGATTGAATATATTAACATCTTTCAAGATTCATTATCTTTATTCCTCTCGTGTCGGTACGTGACACTCCGCTCCTCAATATACTATCCTGGTGTCGGAACGTGACACTCCGATCCTCATTCTATCCTGGTGTCGGAACGTGACACCCGATCCATATTCTATCCTGGTACCGGAACGTGGCACCCGATCCATATACTATCCTGGTGTCGGAACGTGACAGTCCGATCCTCATATACTATCCTGGTACCGGAACGTGGCACCCGATC